AAAACAATGTATCATACTATATAATAATTGTAAAAACTGCATATATTTTTCACAGTTAGACCAATCATCATCTAATAAAGCAAATTGTGGAAATTTTTTATTATAAAAAATTGTTAATGGACCCTTGTACTTGATTGCCATACTCAACATTTCATAGGTGGAGTTCCACCTAGTTGCACAATCCATTTTGATTTTAATACCCTTTATCCTTTGTTGCCCGCAAAAAGCTTTCCATTCCAGAAATCTCATGTTAGAGATGTTAATAGACATAATAGCATTTCTAATTTTGTGATAACATGGACCAATTGCTTGTGTTCCATCCTTCACACACAAGTTAAGAACATGACAAATGCATCTAATATGAAGTGCATCTCCATCTAATATTACATCGATCAATTGTGCTTTAACTAAATTTTCACAAAAAATGCCATAGAAGTTGCATTATCAAAAGTCATAGACATGATTTTTGGCCTAAGATTATATGCATCAATAGCTTGCATTAAATGATGAGAAATATTAAGACCGGTGTGGGGGGTATTCAAGCATTTTAAAATGGATAATGCGTTTTGTAATACCAATCAGTATCCAACCAATGACAAGTCACACACAAATAGTGATATCCGTAACCACTATCCCATGCATCAGCATCAAAGAAACTCTACTAGTAAGATTAGTTAATTCATCATATAACTTCAATTTGTACTCTAGAAAAGATTTCATGGCAGCCGAACGGACAATTTTTCTAGAGATTTTTTTGTGTTGGGGTTGTAGTGCTTGGTTAATGTAATTGTTAAAAGGATCATTTTCGGAAAAAAGAAAAGGTTGTTCGGCATGTACTAACATTCTCCCAAGTTCATCTTTATCTCTCTCATAATTGTAAGTGAAGCCATGTGGATGGAATTGAGAAATTTTGGGTTGAGTTGGATCACTAGATGGACCACCACATTGTTTTACATGTCTACTAAGGTGTCCCGTCCCTCCCTTGGTTTCGGCCGAATAAATTTTGTTACATGTCTTACACTTGGCTTTGGTTCCATCTCTACTTAATTGAAAATATGCCCAAACATTACTCTTTCGATTGGTATTGACAAGTTCCTCTTCGGTACACCATTCTAATGTGTTTAGAATATGGGTGCTTGGAATTTGGGTGTTTGGAATTTGGGTGGATTGTTAACTCGACCCGGCGGCATGTGTTTGGCTACCTTGACTAGTAGGATAAGAAAATTCATGTTGTGAGCCGTATAAATGAGGTGAGAATTGGTTTAGTTGAAATCCCGAACAAGACATAGTCCAAGGAGACATATTGTCAAATTGTTCGAATCCTCCCATGGTTTGGGGATGAAAGAAGGGGGTGGAAGTGTTTGGAATGGGCAAGGGAATTGAAGTGTTTGAATGTGGTAATTTCCTATTTGACTTGATTTTCCCAGAGGAGGAAGGGTTCGGGTTTGATGTCATGATTAATAATAATAACAATAATAATACCAACAACAATAATAATAATAATAATACAAATAATAATAACAATAACAATAATAACAACAACAATAATAATAATACAAATAATAATAACAATAACAATAATAATAACAACAATAATAATAACAATAACAATAATAATAGTGACAAGAACAATAATTATAACATTAATAATAATAATAATAATAATAATAATAATAATAATAATAATAATAATAATAATAATAATAATAATAATAATAATAATAATAATAATAATAATAATAATAATAATAATAATAATAATAATAATAATAATAATAACGTTGAGTTAGATCTTACAACGACGCTTCGATTGCTTTACGCTAATTAATTTCCCGAACTTATAATTTATTTTTTTTAATTTTTATAATTGAGAGAATTAGAGAACTAAAGATTATATGAGATTTTTTTTTTTTTTTTTTTGAGAAGTAGAGAATCAGAGAGTAAGAATTAGAGAATAAGAGACTTAGAGAATAAGAGATTTGAGAATACATGAGTTGATGAATTGTGGAAAAAAATGGAGGAAGAAGTGAAGTATTTATAGGAAAATGATGAATTAGCTGTTAGAGTGGTTGTTGGAATATAGCCGTTAATACGGCTGTTACAATATAGTCGTTTATGGCTGTTGGAAGCTGTAGAAAGCCGGAAAGTAGCCGTTATGCACAGGCCGTGCCTGGTGGGCCGCATGTCGTGCTGGGCCGGCCTGTGGGCCGGACAACCGTGCCGCCCACCATGCCTGTGCCGTGCTCGTGCCAATTTATCAAAATTTTGTTCACGGCACGGCCCAATGCTGGGCCACCGTGCCGTGCCGTGCTCGTGCCGCCCGCGGGCTGGCACGGCCCATGCCCACCTCTAGTTTCTATGTTGAATGATTTAAGTGAACTAAACTAATCATCACAACATTCGAAATCCTAAACATGCATCAAACATCGCAATTCTATAAGCAAAATATAAAGCATAATTAAAGATGCATTTGGCAACTAGCATGACCCCTTGAACTTGAGCCTTCAATTCTTCAAGGGCCTTCGATGCATCCTCTTGGCCCGTCTTCTTAGAAACGTCGTCTTCAAGACATGTCCACCAACTGTGCAACTACTAGTAAGACTAGGATTAATCTAAATATTAAGGTACAAAAATACGGAACGGTACGCAGACCGTATTTAGATTTACAAAAATATAAAACGGAACGCATTCCGTATTTACTATCCTAGTCGGGCCCCACTAGTTGCCATTTTGTAAAACCTACATTAGAATATCTATTCCATTCATCCATTCACTAACGTGAATGGCCCATGTATTTTACAATTAATTCAAGCAATAATGCAAAACATGCGCAAACTAGTAACTAACTTAGGTGGTTAATCCAATTAATGCGCCTAATTAAAATAGTCAAAGTTGTTAACCGATTATGTGATTAAACGCAATAAAATTAGCTCAAATAATTAATGAAGCTCCCGCTAAATTTCGCATCCAACTTAATTAAAATTAATCCAATTAATTTAATTAAGCCAGTTTACCCAAATTTTGCCAAAATTTTTTTGCAAGTGTCGGGAAAAACCCGAGGCCTAGTCTCATTTTAAAAATTAAATAAAATAATTAAAACGACAAAAATCACAAAATCGCATAGCCTTCGATCCCCGAGTGCCTAGCACCAAGTAACGAGGCTTGGTTTGCTTGGCCCGAGGCTCGGCTGCCTTGCGTGGCTACTACCCCTGCACAGCCACTTGTTGCGCCAAGCAACTTTCTTGTGGCTGACAGCATCGCACTATGTGCGTCATGCTGGCCTTAGTAGCGCGCTTGCAACGCCAGCAAGCGAGGGCCTCAAAGGCCTGTTGTTGTGCGAGATAGTGTCGGCCCAAGCCACACATCGCAGCCCACGCACGCACCAATGCAGCACCAAGCAGCGCACCAAGATCGCACACGCACTTACGCATCTATCGATGCACCAGCAGCCCGCACAACCTTGGCAGCCACATGCGGGCTACGCAAGCAACCCAGCTGGCCGAGAGATGTGCTCGGGGCTTCGTGCCTCGATTTGCGTGCTTGTGCCTCGGGATTTTATCTCGATTTTTGCGTGATATAAAATTAATTCTACATTATTTTTAGAACCAATATTGAGCAAAATGAAAATAAAACAAGTCCAACTTAAATAAAATTCAAATTTTAGTGCACAAACCAAAATTAATTCAAGAACCATTCTTTAAATATTTTTTTTTTTTTTGGCTCAACTTGATGCTACAAAAATTGAGGGCTATTCTCACAATTAATTTAACCAAACATAGATTAATAATGAGATTTGACAAAATGAAAGGAGATGGAAAAATTAAACACAATCATTCAATGAAAATTTTCCAACTCCTACTTGTGTAAACTTGAAAAATTACATCCTTCCAATATGAAGAGTAATCAAATTTCAATCACAAGTTTGAACTTTTAAGATTTTGATCAATTCAAAAATGATTAAAATCAAAAATTAGTTCAACATGGAATTTAGAAAGTTAAGTTCCAAATTAAAGATTGGATCTTTAACATTTTAGGGGCTTCAAAAATACAAATTCACCATAAACATTCACACTTGAAACAATAAATTTGCAATAATGTCAAATTACAAGTTTATGTGAAAAATGAACTCACCAAATTAAGCACCAATTATGACTTTATAAATATGCTTAATAAGGGTTATTATTGCAGTAGATTAATGGTGTAACCATACACATAATCTAACATTAACATGCCATAATCACTAGTAGAAAAATTGAAAAAGGCACCCCCCTTTTGCCACCGGTTCTTGAAAACCGGTGGGAAAAGTTTTGTTTTATAAAAAAAAAATAGAAAAAAAAAGAGGGAAAATGGATTTGCCACCGGTTCTAACCAAACCGGTGGGAAAAGTATGTTTCTCGCACCGGTTCTAACAAAACCGGTGGGAAAAGTGTTATGAAATAAAAAAAAACCGCTTATATTCTTCTTTCTTTCTTCTTCAATTCCTCAATCTTTCCTCCTCTCTCGTCTGCGCTACCTCTCTCTCCTCTCCCTCTCCTCCATTAAAACGAACCTCTCTGTACTCCTTCCATTCTCTGTACTCCTTCATATCTTTCTCGTCGTACTCCTTCCTCTCTCCCTCGTCCATTTAAGTGTTTCTCGCTGTACTCTTTCCTCCCTCTCTCCTCCATTTAAGCGTACTCGAAATTCTCCATTGAAGGGGCTTTTGAGCTTTCTCTCCTCCATTGAAGCAGTCTCTAAGGTTAGATGCTTATTTTTCTTTAATCATCTAATATTAATTTTGACAATCTAGTGTTAATCATGTATTTAATTGTTAGTATATACTCAATTTAGGGTTATTCGAAGTTGGAAAATTGAACTATTGGTTATACAAAGTCGAAGAATTTAACGTAATTTTTGGAGTCTAGTTTGATAATTGAGTCAATTTTTGTTTCTAATTTGTGAATTTTAGTTTATTTATTTTATTTTATAGGAAAAACACATATTCACAAATTCTGGGGGTGGGGGAATGGTTTCAGGGGTACAGTTTCGAGTCTACGGCGGTTTTGGGTCAGGGAAAGGGGTGGGAGTTTCTGATGGGAAAAGGGATGAGAGTTAGGGTGGTTTCGGGTTAAGGAAATCAAGTTTTGGGCGGTTTCGTTCGTGGGGCTGGGGAGGGGGGTCTATTGCGCTTATGTGGCTTTGGAAGGAGGGTGGTTTTGGTGGTGGTGCAGGGGGAGGGGGTGGCTGTCGGGGCTGGGTTGGGGAGTGGTTGTTGGGCTGAAACGCAGTCAAGAGATAGACAGGAGAATAGGGTTTTGGGAGGGTTGAAGGTGAAGAATGTTGTTAGTGGGGAGGTTAAGGATGTGCAGGTTTCTTATTTTTCGGTGTTTATAGAGACATAAAGAGCAATGATATAAATCGAAATGATGACCGGATTACGGAATTCACATTGTGGATTTGTGGTACAATCGTATAAGTGTTGTGATATGTTTTGTTGATGATGTTATCAAGGAGATGATTTGTGTGTTAGCTGCTACTACATTGACAGTGAGCTCAATGCTTATGCCATATCTTCTGCTCAGGTCAACTGCTTAGCTTGCTTATCTATTTTTATACAACTATTGTACGAATACACAAAGGAAGTACGAAATTATGTTGAGTACGTTTGATAATTCGGTTCCATGGAAAGTCGAAAAACCTTTAAACTGTTGCCATGCTTCGGTGATTGTAAGTTGTAATTGCTCTGTGTAAATGGATCATTTGGTAAAAAAAAAAAAAAAAAAAAAAAAAAAAAAAAGTTGTTTGGATGAACTATTTTAATGTTAATTTGTTTTATGGAATGAGCGTTACCCTTGGCCCTGAATCTCCAAGACGATACAGAAAAAGTGTCAGTGGGATGTCTTTGTGGCTTGACGGCTTTAAGAGAAGTAATGTTGTTTCTGCATCTGGTATACTTGAGTTTGCTTACAGGTTTGCTTTCCGAAATTTATTTAAGTTTTTAGTGACAATGTTAAAATTATTCCGTTGAGACATTAAAAATAAGGAATTGGCAATCCTCTTTATGTGATCATAGGGACAAAACCGAATTGGGTAGTGAAGATGAGAAATCTTATCAGTCCGATTAGTGCCATTTTTATAGATTGATCAATGGATTTTGTAAATGTTGCTAACAAATCAATTATGTTTCATAACTTGATGCTTGAATCTTGGTGTTAGATTTTATTACATATATGCTGCTGTTTTGATTCTTTGTAATTTACGTGAGAATCGTAAAAGGAGGTATTAATTGCTTTCTTATGGTAATAAATAATTGTCGTAGCAGACCTCATTACAGCTTATAATGTCATATTACTGTGTTTAGCTGGTGTCATTGCTTTGCTAAGAATGTATAATTCAAGTATAATTTACATCTTAATATGATTTTTGGTCTCAGTATCTCAAGTGCTCTCTTTCTCCACCCTCTTTGTCAATCTATCCTTGTTGGAGAGTAATTTCTTGTAGATTCAAATCATGGTGAAACTACTGATATGAACAGAACTCTGATTGCACTTTACTTGATGACTATAAGAGTATAAGCTGGCTACTTCTTTTCCAGGGATTTGCAGAAGGCGACTCAGAATTTCACAACATTGGTTGGCCAAGGTGCATATGGTCCTGTGTACAAAGCTCATATGTCAACTGGTGAAATAGTTGCTGTGAAGGTGCTGGCAACTGATTCAAAGCAAGGGGAGCGAGAATTTGAAACAGAGGTAATGCCATATTTTAATCAGTGCAGCTTCTTAGCGGCAATATAATCTATACCAAGGTTCATCCTTAGATGCCTTGTGTGGTAGACAAGTTGTTGTCTCTTTTTATGCTGTATTTATTGTGCTGATTGATTCTTGATCTCACCTTCTTTTATTGCATGCTCTTGTTTCTCAGGTTAAGCTGTTAGGAAGGTTGCATCACAGGAACCTCTTGAATTTTCTTGGATATTGTACAGAGAAGGGAAAAAACATGCTTATATATGCGTATATGAGCAATGGCAACCTAGCTTCCCATTTATACAGTAAGTGAACAAATTATATCTTCAGCATTTATGCGAGCCTAGGTTAATGTATAAATAAGAGTGTTCTATCCCTTCTAGGTGTCATTGCAATGATATGAAATAATCAGATTTAACCAACTTTTTTTCCAGGAAAATTAATTACTGTGCATGTAAATGGATACATTGAGATATGTTGAAAAGTTACGATATTTGATATTCATCTGTGGATTGACTGACGAACATCAATGATTAAACTACCTTGCAAGCCTAGTTTTGTGAACCTTTCTTACGTTGGAGCCTGCAAATTGACAAGTTTCCTCCATTTTCAGCTTAAGTGATCCCATTGCAAGGATAATTGCCATTGGGGCTTCCATGCATGCAACTATGCAAGCTTAATTAGGAAGAGGTTCTTATGAGAAAAGTGGCTCTATAGGAAGTTCTTGTCGCTTGAACTTCTTGTTCAGCATCCCTAATTGGTATCCTCCTGTTCAGACCAGTGACACCAGTCCCATTAACAAAATCTATAGTTGTCTGAATAAGATTTTGTTTCCCTTATCATCTATTAATCAAACTTTGATTTTTCCTTTTCTCATGATCTTCTAGAGCGTAATTTTTATTGCTATTCGCGAGAAGTGATGGAGGGTAGTATCCGAATTGGGTTAAAATTTGTTGTGAAATAGAACTACAGGACTTGAATTACAATCTTGGGTTGATTATTCCAGTTTTAGGTGAGCTGTGATTAGGGGATTTTGCTCCCACCAATCGGAATGCGCCACGTGGGCCAATCAGGTCCTGCCAAGTGTCCCTCAGTTGGAACTGTCAGGGCTTGCCACGTGGCACCCGCTTATTCGTCCACCTTGGACCTATTATGTCATGACACGTGGCATACTCCATGCCTAATCAGCCCAAGGTTAACCTAAACCTAGGATTGGCACGCTTCTCAAAGACTATAAATACTTAATTAATCCTCATTAAAGGGGATTAAGCAATTAAACACTCTCACCTAGAGAGACCCAATCAATTTAATTTCCGCATTAATTACTCCTCAAACAAGTACTAACTTGAACGTTGGAGGCGGAGCTCCCACCACCAGGAGTCTCCGTTGTTTTGCAGGTACAAGCGTCCGGTTCCAGTCTCGGAATTGTAACTCTCCCGCAGTACATCAGAAAACCCCGAAACATTTGGCGCCGTCTGTGGGGAGAGTACTTCTGAGATGGCATCCACGTTTGTACCGACTCCTGAAGAGAGACGTCCCCTGGACGACCCTCTAGTTCAGTCGGACCACGATACTGAGAATGAATTTGAAGTTGAAGCTCACACAGCTTCATACGGGACCCTAAGGGCCCGACGTACCCGTCATACCGAAAGGAGGGAACGGGAACATCTTCATACAGGAAGCGAGCCAGCAGGCGCACCGCCTGTTCGGCAACAACCGACTGCTGGGTCTACTCCCATCACAAGGAGTGAACTCATGACCTTCATGAGGGACTTCAAGGGAGAAATTCAAGAGTTGATCAACAAGAAGCCGCCTGCTCTGGACAAGGAGCAGTCGGCTAAGAAACCCTCCACTTCACAGAAGAGAAAGCCAGTTCAAGGGCGAGAGGCGACTCCTCATCCTAAATCTAGGAAGCGGGAGCCGTTTGCCCTTGATTTCACAAAATACCGTTTTCCTACTCCAGGAACTAGGAAACCTGTTCGTCATATTCAGGCGGACGGGTCTAGGAAAACATTCACAGACGCTCGGCTACTGCTAGAGCAGAAGAAGAGTGACCGATTGTCAGAGTCGTCCTCTACTTCAAACTTCCAAGACTGTCTGCGAAATACCTCGATGAGGCATACTCAGTCGTATCATGAGAGTCAGTCAGGCGGCACCTCCCGTCAGTCCGGCTTTCATAGCGACCAGGCGGTACCAAACTTACCGTTTGTACCGCAACAACAGTATTTTTTACAGCCACCTCCGTTTGGTGGACATGCAGCAAAAAATGTCCAACCTATGGACTGGCAGCTACGGTTGCTTAAACTTGGTGAACAGCCGTCGGCCTTCTCCAAGGAAATTACTGAAGCCGCTCAGCCGGCCAAAGTGAAAAATGTATTAGTAGGCGCCTATGACGGCACTACTAACCCAGAAGACCATCTGATGGCATTCACCAACCTGATGTACCTTCAAGGGTTGGATGATCCCACTTGGTGCAAGTGTTTCCCAGCGACTCTCAAAGGAATCGCACAACAATGGTTCGGCAACCTACCGACTGGTTGTGTAAATAACTTCAGGACTCTTGCTTACTTATTCACCTCCAACTTCGCCATGAACATCCCTGCGAAGAAGACGACCCTTGATTTAGGAACAATTCAGCAGGGCGAGAAGGAGGGGCTTCGTTCTTACATCAGGCGGTTTAACCTGATGAGAATACAGATTCAAGGGTTACCGGATGAAGTAGCCTATACTGACTTTTTCAGAGGTCTCAAAGACGGGTCGACCTTCAAATTTGATTTGGTCCGAAAGAGGGTGGCGACTCTTCAAGAGGCCTTGATTGAAGCGGAAGCCTATATACAGGCGACTGATCTTTGTAGTACGGGAAAACAGTCGGACGGGAAAAGGTTCGACAAAAGAGAAGGACGACAGAAACAGTCGTCAAACAAAGACGAGAAAAGAAAAGAGGTCTAGGCGGCTGATTCCTCTAAACAGCCGGCCCAGAAAAAGAAAAAAGAATTCAAACCATACTCCCCAAAGTATGCGTTTAACAAGGATAGCCAGTTTATCCTAAAGGAAATCAAGGGACGGATCTCTATTGAGAAGCCGGTCCCCATGAAGGGTTCTGCAAACAACCGGAACCAAGAAAAGTTATGTGCTTATCAGGAAGATGTTGGTCATCACACCAATGAATGCATCAGTCTCATGCGGTATCTGGACCGCCTGGCTGAGCAAGGTGATCTTGACACTTATGTCAAGAAATCTACGGGGAACACTTCCTCGAAAAAGCAGTCGGCCAAAAAGAATCAACAGGCCGACAACTCCGATACATATGATGCAGTCGTCTACACCATTGCAGGCGGCTTCTCAGGAGGCGGCCCCACTATTAGGGGCAACAAACACAATATCAGGCGGTTAGATGTAAATTTCGTTCACCAAGAACGGCCCTCCAAATATTCATTTCCTGAGATTGTCATCACTGAAGAAGATCTAGGAGGGGTAAGAGGGCCGCATGACGACCCTATCGTTATTGAATGTAAAGTGGCCAACCAGAGAGTTGGCCGAATCCTCATAGATACCAGAAGCTCCTCAGATCTCATCAGTAGCAAATGTCTGTCAAAACTAAAATATCAGACTGATTGCATACATCCGGCATCCCACCCTTTAGTAGGGTTTGGAGGAGGAGGAGTCCACCCAGTGGGACGAGTGGATTTACCCATCCGCCTGGGCGAAAAAGGGGAAGGATGACACATGGTAGTCCGGTTCCTGGTAGTAAAAGAACTCTTGGCCTACAACATGATTATGGGACGATCAACCCTGAATAATTCCAAGGCTGTTATAATCCCATCTCTTATGTTGCTCAAGTTTGAGAGGGATAATGGAACAGTCGGGTCCCTAAGGGGAGATCAGAGGATGGCCCGAGAGTGCTATCTCTCGGATGTCAAGCCCACTGTTATGGCCACTGGGTCGAGTGGTGGAAAAATAGACCTTGAAAATGTCAAGGAGAGTGCGCCTGTTCAAAAAGCAGGCGGCAAGAAGAGAAAGGCATCCCAGACAGGGGCCGCACGAAAAGACAGAAAATAGCAATCATTGGCAGAGGAGCGGTCGGATGAATTCCGCCCTCAGCCGGCTGGTGAGCATACGGACTTGATCTTAGACGACTCACGTCCTGAGCGAACAGTCAAAGTTTGGACGGCTGCTCTAAGGGACCTGGGTGACGACTTTCACAAACTATTGAAAGAATACAAGGACATCTTTGCATTCGAAGTCCATGAAATGCCAGGCATTAGTCCTGATCTGGCGGTACATAAACTGGCCGTGGATCCAAAAAAGAAGCCGGTACGGCAGAAGAAGCAGAACCATAGCGAAGAAAGAAGTCAGGCGGCAGCCGCCGAAGTTAAAAAATTACTTGATGCAGGGTTCATTCGGCAATGTCACTTCCTAGACTGGGTTGCAAATGTGGTGCTTGTTAAAAAGCCGAATGGCACCTGGCAAATGTGTGTAGACTACAAAGACTTAAATAAGGCGTGCCCCAAAGACAGTTACCCTCTGCCTAAAATTGATAACCTGGTCGATTCAACAGTCGGCCATGCTTTGATGAGCTTTATGGACGCCTACTCTGGTTTCCATCAAATTCCTTTATGGAAGAAAGATCAGGAGAAGACGGCCTTCGTCACTGATCAGGGGTTATACTGTTACACGGTCATGCCGTTTGGTCTTAAGAATGCCCCGACCATTTTCCAGCGAATGATAAACACTGTGTTCTTTGATCAAATTGGGAGAAATGTCGAGGCATATATTGATGATATGATTGTCAAGTCTAAACTTCAGAAAGATCATTTGTCGGACCTCCGAGAAACTTTCGCCACACTCAGGAGGCACCATGTCATGCTCAATCCCAAGAAATGTGTCTTTGGAGTTGAGTCTGGGAAATTTCTCGGATTCCTTATCAATCAGAGAGGAATAGAGGCAAACCCTGAGAAGGTGCAGGCGGTCATTGACATGCAGTCGCCTCGTACCATCCGAGAGGTTCAGAAGTTAACAGGTTGTCTGGCGGCCTAGGGAAGATTTCTAAGCCGATCAGGCGACAAATGCCTATACTTTTTCCAGGCAATTAAGAAAAAGGCAAGGTTTGAATGGGGGCCGGATGCTGAGGCCGCCTTCCAGAAATTGAAAGTTCACTTGCATTCCTTGCCGAGGCTGGTCAGCCCTTTTCCCAAAGAAGTACTCTACATGTACCTGGCCGTCTCTAATCATGCGTTAAGCGCTGTTATCCTTGCTGAAAGAGACGGCTGTCAGCTCCCGGTCTACTTTGTCAGTCATGTACTGA